ATCTTCTCACCCCTTTTCCCACTTTCCCTATTTCTCTTGATGGAATCATCAGCATCTTCCAAGTGGAAGGTACGACGTGAAATATGGATCCAACATTCCCTAGCTGTGTTATCTTAGGCACATCAGGTTCACAATCACAGTTTCATCCCCAGTTCCTCCTTGTCACTTATCCCCACATACTCAAATACTTGCTATATCTCATTTCTGCCTCTATAACTTCTTGTGTACCTGCCCCTTTCTCACATAGCTTCAACTCAAGTGCAGACACTCATCACCTCTCACCTGAACTATTGCAATAGCCTCTTGAAAGTTCTCCATGCTTCAAGCTTTTTCCCTCCTCTAATCCTTCTCCCACACAGCTGCCAAAGTGGTTTTCCTAATGGGTAGGTCTTCCCACATCACTACCCTACTCAATAAATTTCAGTGGCTCCACACTGCCCATAGGAAGAAATATTATATCTTTATTTCAACCTTTTAAATTTCTACTTTGTACAGGTTTTATACTGTACATAATTATTAGTATAGTAGTACAAAAATGTTGCTTATATAAGTATATTGATGTAATTCTATTTTTTGCTAGTAGGATTTATGATCAAAAAAGTTTGGAGACTTACACTATCCTGATGAAATCATGGGATCACAGGCTTTGTCTAAAAGATTTACAAACTACTTTCCTTAAAATAATCCTGTAAGGCAGTAGCTGCTAGTATTTTTTTTTTTACTCAACTTGTGATTTCACCTGTGTAGGCAATTTCCAGTGAAGAAACTTCTTCTATCAGTGTTCAAGGTTAGATGGCTTACCAAGAGTCATATAGCCAGTACTAGGACCCAAGTCTTCCTAACTTCAAGGTGGGTTTAATCCATTACACTGCTAGGTTGCCAGTATTATTGCCTTTCCATTTTACAGATAAGGAACTGAGATTCAGAGGCAAGGACTCACCTAACATCACACAGCTAGTAGGTGTTGGAGACAGGCCTTGTACTTAAAAGTTTGGGTTCTTTAAACTAGTGCCTTTACTATACTACATGGTTCCCTTTGCCTGGATCCCCTCCCAGCTATACAAGTCTGATGCCCCTTCAGAACCCTGTTCAAATCCCACTTCCTTAATGAAGATATCTGGAACCATTGCGACCGCTTCTGTGAGATCTTATAGGATCCGTAGTCTGCACTGCACTATTTAGCACATACTCTTATGTTCTCCCACTCTCACCCCACAAGGTGCCTAGCACACAGTAAGGTCTCAAGAAACTGACAATATGATGGGTCTATCAAGGATGGATGACACCAGGGTGTCTTTCTTAAGCTATACATGTAGTTATCCAGCATATATTCCCACAAGGTCATGGGTAACAATGTGGTCCATTGGAATGAATGGATGAATAGTTGGATGAGTAAATGGATGAATGAATGGATAAATAGATGAATACACAGATGAATGAATGAATGAATGAATGAATGAGTGAATGCATGAGTGAATGAATAAATGAATGAATGAATGAGCAATCATTTGTTAAGTGCTTACTGTGTGGCAGGTACTGTGGAAAACAGTAGTAACCCAAGCAGATTTTCCAGTGAGATGGCAAAACCATCTTATGTCAGTAAAGTAGCACTATCACTCTGCCTTATTTCCCCACCTTTGGCCACCTATCAACCACCACCAAACCCTCCTTCAGAGGCAACACAGAAGCCAAGCTCCTATGTGTTCTCCTCTAGCCATGGGCCTAGCTTCCCTGGGTGACCTGGGAGAGCAGAAAAGTAGGCAAGATCTGTTCTCAGAGCTCTGGGCTGCAGCAGCTAAGACTGACGGGTTGTCAATAGCTGCCTGTCAGCTACAAACCTCCACCCCAGCTCCCATGTGGAACTTTTCAGGCTTCAGAATTTCATATCTGATATCTCAATTATGCCTCTTGACTCTGAGTTTGGGGGAAAGAGGGATTGACAGGAGTTGATGGGGCCCTTTCTTTTCTTAGAGCATGGAGGAAAGCGGCATGTTTCCACATCTGGGTGGCTGCTTTGAGGATTAAAATTCACCAGGAAATCAGATCTAGGTGTGGAAGGCTGGCATTCCCCACTCTGGAACACAGGTTCAACAGGGACTAGGAGACTTTCACAAAGATCCAGACAGGCCAGAAATGCTCAAAGTTTGATTATACTGGATTGACTTCAAATAAGAGAATCCTTACGGCTTAAAATAAGATACAGAAAGTGGGGGGTAGGAGACATAGGTCATAACACTTGTATCATCTACATCCTGGAGCCATTAGGATGATAGATTTAGCACCAAAAGGGGTTTCAGAGGTCATCTGATGCCCTCCTTTTTTCCAGGCCCATGGAGATTGATTGCCTAAGGTCACCCAGGTAGTGAGTGGCAAAGGTGCTCTTTGATCAGAGGGAGGGAGATGCAGAGAGGTTACAGCTGGGTCTCAGTTGCCTGAGGTGTCAGTCAGAGGAGTCTTAGATGTGCTGAAGTTCAGGAGGCAATAGGTAGAGCAAGTGAGACCAGTTAAGGTCCACTGCAGAGGCTCTCCATGAACTTAGAACACCAGGTCCAATGGAGCTCTTTACCGTTCTACCTCTTGGAAGTGGCAGACACCTGATCTTTTCCTTCCCATAAAACAGAGCAGCGCAGCCCCTCCATGTGGTCTTGCTTTGTCTTTTTGTACTCATCCTCACTTTCACCTTTTGGGTGTTAGATATGAAGACACACTTACCAGGGGCCAATAAGTTTTTGGTCCTCATCTCTGATTTCATCATTGGGAAGGAACAGTTTTCAGGAAGTTAACACAGACAGAAGTTAAGAGCAATATCAAAAGAGTGGGGCCTTTTGAGGTGATCACACAGGGGCACAGATGTTAACTTGGTTAAGGACCAGCATAGTGGAGCATGCATGTAATCCTAGCTGCTGGGAGGATGCAGTGCTCTTGAATTCAGGAAGAGTTCTGAGCTGCAGTGGGCTAAGCAGATCATGTGACCAAACTGTTTGGCATTAATACAGCTACGCTCTGGGAGCAGAAGGCCACCAGATTGCCTAAGGAGGGGAAAACCTTCCTGGTTCAGAAGCAGAACAGGTCAAAGGTCTTGTGCTGATAGGTAGCTAATTGACCCCTATACCAACAGCCTAGATAAGATAGGGAAACCCAATCTTAAAGAAAAAAAAATATGGAAAGTGATAAGCAATGTCTGCATTTCTGTCAGCAGAAACCAGAGGTCACCTCAAGAGCTTAACTAGGCATTAGGGATCAGTTAGGAAATAATGGGATCTTTTGAAGATTTAAAAGTTTAGAGGATCAGGTTTGTCTACAAACTGCTAGTACGATGACGTAGGAGGAAGACTGGTGGACTGACAGACAAGAGACCTGGGATACTTCTTGGCTCTGGCACTTAGGTATTATTTCACCTTCTAACACTCAGTTTCTCCATCTGTAAAATAGGGGACTAACTAGACCATATCTAAGGATCCTCTAGAATAGCTCATTCATGAGATCATTTTTATCCCTTTGAGAGATAAGGAGACTAGAAACAATTCCTAGGCAAGGACTTGGACATTTTTGTCTGTATCTCCTTACAGAGACAAACATGGTGCCAGTAGAATAGAAGGGCCTAAATAGAAGTCTAAACCACTAAAGCAGCAGAAGGTAGGTTGGAGCCTTGGGGGACCTGGGTAAATTAGTGGCAGAGGGAGAGATAGGATGACCATTTGATCTTTCCCAGCTCCATAAGTAATCCTGCTTTGGTACACTGAGGTCCAAGATGGGGCTTGGTCCCCAGAATCCTAAACAGCTACACAGCTGGGTAGTGCAGTGGATAGAACACTGGGCCTGGAGTCAGAGAGATCTGGGTTCAAATCCAACCTTGGACAGTGACTAGCTGTTTGGCCTTCAGCAAGTCATTTAACCTCTGTCTGCCTCAATTTCCTCATCTATAAAAATGGGGATAATAATTGCACCTAACTCCCAGGGTTGTTGTGAGGATAAAGTGAGATATTTGTAAAGCACTTTGCAAACAAACTGTAGTTATTACAAATAATAATAAAAATGCATACTAGTAGACAGCAGTGCATGAAGCTAAAGCACATATGGCCTATCTTTCCCCAGTGGCTGTTCTAGGACATGGGGTATAGGATTAGGGGGTGGACATTGGGTAGACTGAGCCTAAACTAAGCTTAGGACATACAGGTCCATGGGGCTTCTCTCTACACCTTAGCCCCCTTGCCCCTCTTCCCACAGTCAAGGCAGCTCTCAGCAAGAGGCAGTAAGTATCTTCCTCATCAACTGAGCTCCCATCTCCTACCTCTCTCTCCTCATGCAGGGTGAAAGAGGATTTGTCTCAGATAAGTGGGAAAGCTTCTCTTTTGTTGATGCTTCTCTCCAGCACCCTGAGGGGAAGTGCAATGGTTTGGAACATGTATGGACTGCAATACCTCTTTAACCTGTCTCTCCTTTGTCTCACCCCTTCCCCTTCTGTCACATCCTCTGTGTTTCTCCCTTTTTCTTTTTCTATTCATCACCCTTTCTCTCCTGCTTCATCTCTATTTTCATCTCTCTACATCTTGTGGCTTTTTTTTTTGATAACACCATGTTGGATTCTCTTCTCCCCCTTTACCCTCCTGTTTCTGTCTCCTCTCTTCCTGTCACTTTTTCTCTATCCTGTCTGTCTGTTCTGCCCAATCTGTTCATCTCTATGTCTTTTTCTCTCTTAACCATATCTTTCTGTCTCTTGGTCTCTCTCTCCATCTCTGGCTCTTCTCCCTGGTCATATCTCCTTAACACTGGCTGCTTCATCTGCTGCTCCCTGTCTTCCTCTTGTTTCCTCCACACATTTTCTCCTTCTGCTCTCCTGCTCTGTCTTTGTCTCTCTGTCGTGCATCTATCTATGCCTCCTGCCTCTTTCTCTCCCACTCCTTCCCTTTCTCTCTCCTCTCTTTCTCTTATTGTTTTTGTTTCTGCCCTTCACCCAACCTACCCTCTATGTGTCTCCCTCCCCCCACACGCACCCCTAGGATGATCCCAGCTTCCAACAAGGCCTTCGTGGTGAACAATCTGGTGTCGGGGACCGGCTATGACCTGTGTGTGTTGGCGATGTGGGACGACACGGCCACCACACTCACAGCTACCAACATCGTGGGCTGTGCCCAGTTCTCCACCAAGGCTGACTATCCGCAGTGCCAGTCCATGCACAGTCAGATACTGGGAGGCACAATGATCCTGGTCGTCGGGGGCATCATCGTGGCCACGCTGCTGGTCTTCATCGTCATCCTCATGGTGCGCTACAAGGTCTGCAATCACCAGGGCCCTGGGAAGATGAATGCTGCGGCTGTCAGCAATGTCTACTCCCAGACCAACGGGGCGCAGCCGCCACCACCGCCACCACCATCTAACGCGGTGCAAAACGGGGCGCCACCGCAAGTGCACCCCAAGGCGTCCATGAGGAACGAGCACTTTGGAAGCGGCAGCGGGGCGTCTGGGGCAGGGGGGGCTGGGGCCAGAGGCGGCGGCGGCGGCTTGGGGCGCAGCAGCGGCTCCTCGTCGTCCTCCAGCTCCTTGGGCAGCACGGACGGGGCGGGTGGCCGGGGCCCCTGGAGGCTCCCTCCGCCCAGCGCCCGCCCCAAGCCCAACCTCGACCGCCTCATGGGGGCCTTCGCCTCGCTGGACCTCAAGTGCCAGAGGAAGGAGGAGCCTCTAGACTCCAGGACTCCGGCCGGGGCCGGGGCTATGGGACGTCACTCGGACCGCGAGCCACTGCTGGGGCCCCCGGCGGCACGGGCCCGGAGCCTCCTGCCGCTGCCGCTGGAGTGCAAGGCGCGCCGCAGCCACTCCTTCGACATGGGGGACTTCGCGGCGGCGGGGACGGCATCTGGGGCGTCTGGGGGGGCCGCGGCACAGGGAGGCTACAGCCCGCCGCGGAGAGTGACGAACATCTGGACCAGGCGCAGCCTCTCGGTCAATGGCATGCTCCTGCAGTTTGAGGACAGTGACCTCGCGGGGCCCAGGGGCACTTATGGCAGCTCCGAGTGGGTGATGGAGAGCACGGTGTAGATGGCGGTGGCGTCCAGAAAGCGCCCCGCACCCCCTTCTACCTCCCTCTCCCGCCCCTTCCTCTCCCTTCTGTCAATTCCGAACCCCCTCCCCCAGCTCCCACCCTACTCCGCCCGTCGGTGGGATGGATGCTGGCAACAAGGTGGAAGAAATCATTTCTTTTTTATATATATATCAAGTCTACACTCGATTATCTGCGTGCACTTTGTGGGTTATCCGAGGGCGGCGTTTACATATGGGACCACCATCCAGTGTCCTATCCTCTCCCTATCCCATCCTCCTCACCACCACTTCCATCTCAAGTTCAGGTCCCCTTTCCCCACCTTTCAGCCGGTGCCCTCAGGGAATGCACTGAAATTTGGCCCAAGCCCAGTAAAAGCTCTCTAATCACAAATGCCAAGGATAGGAGGCTTTGGGATGAACTGTTTGTGGAGGAGCTTTTTTTTTTTTTTTTTTGGTGAAGACACAGCCATACAGATAATGGAGAGATCACCACGTATTAGAAATTTTATGCCCATGGGGCTAAGCCAGTGAGGGCCAAAGCAAAACCATGATGGGAGGATGACTGGAAGTCCTTCTCTGTTTCTAGGGGAAGGCTCTTGAATTTCCTAACACCCAAATAGTCACATTAACTTCTCCTTCCTCCCACTGGGAGCCGAATGGATTCCTGCTCCCTAACCCCAGTAACTTTTCCCACGCATCTCACTCTCCAGTATCATATCAAGTTAAACCCAGCCTGACACTGAGTTTAAGTGGGGCATTTTTTTTTAGGGAATGGAGGGGAGATGAGAGTTCTATCTGGGGCTGAGAATTTTTTTTTTATCTTTTTCCATTAGGTGGAGCAGAGAGAGCTCCCCAGAACAAGAGGTAGAGTCCTCAGGACAGCTACATGGATTCCAGCTAAATAATCTGAGAGTGATTGGAGAGGGGGTATTGAGATAAATGACCATGTATGAAGGGGCATAAAGGAGTTTGGGGAGAAATCTGAGCCTTTTTAGAATCACAGAACTATCCTGGAAGGGACCTTATAAATCATCCAAGAGATAATCTATCAGGCAAGGAAATGGAGTCACAATTAAAGATCACATAGACAATTAGGAGAAAAGCTAGATTTAGAACTCAGACTTCCCAATTCTTAGAATAAAGTTTCTGTGTTGTTTCTGCCCTCCCTACTCCTACCCCTAATTCATGCCAGGAACTTTTCCACAGAGCTACACATTTGGTTGTTTATTGGGTGACCCAGCTTGTAGCTCCCTGAGAAATGTCTTTCCCAGGGAGGACCTCTATCCTTGAACTTAGGGTGGAAATGAGTAAAGAAATACTGGGGTTATTGAAATCCATGTTTTTCTTCCCATATTCCTAGACAATGATAGACATTCCATATAGAGAAAGAAAGGGGACAGAGAGGATACAACTTCAGGAAATTGATTTAATATGACTGAGCTTTGGACAAAATGACTTTCCCACACCTCTGTCTTTCCTTTTATCTGCCTCTTATCCATGTTCTTTTCCCTCTCCTCTCCCTTCCTCTCTCCCTCTCTCCAGCCTCCTCCCCCTTTAAAACTTTCCTTTCTTTTCTCTATATAATTCTTCCTGCCAGTGGTTCTCTTTTTCCTCCTTTCTCCTATTGGTTGAACTGAGATCATCATAAAACTTGGAGTTATTTTTGTTACAACAAAAGGTATTGGTTACTTGCTGAGATATGGTGAAATATTCCAGCCATCCTAGTAAAACCCATGGAAGGGTAGATTTCTTGGATGGCCTGAGAATGGAGGAAATCTATGAAAGGCTGCCTTGTGGATCCAATGTTGGCATCTAAATGGAATGCCCTTGTTCAGTCTATAAAATTATCCCTATTCACTCTTCCCTCCTTTCCCTCCCCTTCTTCCCTTTCATTCCTTCTCCAACCCTTTCCTCGCCCCTCCTCTCTTCTCTCACCTTCCCTCTTTCTTTTTCTCTCCCTTTACCCTTCCTCACTCTCCTCCGTTTCTCCAATCCTTACAAGATCATGCATAGCAAAGACTGGTTGCTCTATGATCAGTCACTTAAATTCCCCAGTGCCAGAATGTCAGAGACTCTAGAGTCAGCTATTCATCACTGAAATTTCATCAGGTTGGTACGGCTTGGGACTGAGTTTAGGGCTCATATTTTTTCTCTCCCATCTTCCCTCCCCCATCCATGCATTCCTTTTGTTGCGTCTTCTAATTCTGGCCATAGAAGAAGCCATTCCCAAATTATACCTTTCCTAGTTTCAGTGGTTTGGGCACAATGTGAGAGATCAGGGAAGGCTGAGGGGAACCCTTCCCTCCCTCGAGTGAGCTCACCATATATTCTTTGCCAGGTTCAGAGTGGCATCTGGCATGGGTATGTACTAGCTCATGTATTTGTCATGTTTCCTAATTGGAGTTTTAGAAAAATGATATCCCTATGGTCATAGTATGATTCCATTCTTTTCTTTTTTACACAAAATATACAGTCATGTACAGTAAAACAAACAGAAAATACCAACCATGGTTCTTGGGGGAGGGGAAAAAGGATATTTTTCTTGTTCCTGTCATAATCTCCTCTGAGTGTTTTGGGATGTTAAAGGGAATGATCGGGAAGGACATTTTGGGCAGCTGTGTTTAGATCTTCTCCTCTTCATCGAGTTCCCTGCCCAATACCTACAAACTAGTAGGGAACCTCTGGTACATGGTCTTGGGGAATGAGGAAGAGATTATGAATGAAGAATCCAGACCTGGAGGTGTCAATGTTCCCATCCGTCCCCATCCCATTGTCTCCAGTTTTCCAATTCCATGAATTCAAGTTCTTCCTGAAGTTCCTACTGCCCACTGTACCCAATCAGTAGAAGGTACCAGTCCTGACCAAAGTAGACCCTTTCCCCCTTAGTTCAACTGACTTCTTTACTCTCATCTTTACTTGGAAACTAAGAGGAAGAACAAACAAAACCCACAGAAGCATAAGCCAAGAGTTTTTTGTTCTAATTTTAATTAATGCCTAGTTATACATTTTTTTTATGAGGCAACAATGCAGATTGTACTTTTTTGCTGGTATCAGAGCCTGAGTGGTTATGAGATGGATCAAACTGAGTGGAGCAAGCAACCTAGAAAGGTTCCAGTTAAGGAATCACAGGCGTATAGGATTTAGGGCTAAAAGGGACCTTAGATATCATCTTGTCCAACCCCTTTATTGCAGAGAAGAAATTGAGGCCTCAAGAGGAGTGTCCAAGGTCGTACAGTAAATAGTAGAACTGAAATGAGAACCCAGGTTCTCTGCCTTTAGAATCAATATTCTTTCTGTTAATACTATATAGTGTCGGGGCATCTGACACCAGGTAACAGGCATAGATGGAGGCTGACAAGTGGGTCACTGGGAATATTGAGTAGGGACTGCTAGTAAATGTTCCAAGAGATAAGCAAGGAATATAGCAACAAGGGGCTCTGAGGGTAGCCAAGCAGTGAAAGTTCAACCAAATATACTCTATGTCAAGGAGTTCTAGAAACAGATTAGTATTAAGGAAGAGTGAATGAGACATGACAGGGAAGTAGGGCTGTAATCAATAGGTTACAGTGCACAGGACATAAATGATACTTAATAAGTGCTTGATTTATTAAGTCAGCAGCTAGGTGGCATAGTGGATAGAGTGCTGGACCTGGAATCAGAAAGACTCATTTTCCCAAGTTCAAATCTGGCCTCAGACACTTATTAGCTGTGTGCCCCTGGGCAACTTTGCCTCCGCTGAAAAAGAAAATGGCAAACCACCCTGATATCTTTGCCAAGAAAACCCTAAATGGGCTCACAAAGAGTCACACATGCCTGAAAAACAAGTGAACAACAACAAAATACTTTATTAATAGGTTTCAGAGAACAGAACCATGACTAAGGCAGGCAGACCAAGGCTTTGCCAACATCTGTTGAAGGGAAGCGGAACAGCACTTATGTGACTTACCATGCTCATGCCTCTGTGGGCCTCTGCTGGCCCACAGCTATCTCATGTCCTTCAAAGCCTAGGGCTGAGAACACTCCCTCCAGGATTCTTTTTCCATTGTACACCTCTTCCTAAGCCTGCCTTTCCCATTGCCGGAATAAGGGTTTGGTTACAGGGAGTAAGATAAAACTCTATTTACTATACTATGGCAAGGAACAAGGGAAGAAACCAGGTACCAGGAGCAGATACAAGGTCAGAATAAGAGAAGCACCAGGATGACTTGACATTTCTGAGTTACGGATTTAGGGGTCTGCATATTCTTTCAGCCTAGGGACTGAATTGTCCTAATCGTTTAGGGCTAGGGCTAAGCCTGATGACGTGGGTCAAGTGACTCAAAGGTGAAGACAGGATGACCTCAAAATCAAGGTAGAGGGCCTTTTAGTATTGTAGTGTTTTTTTTTCTTTAACATAATTTCCACTAAGAAAAAAGAAGTGTAGTTTCTTATTTCCAAATGCCCTGCTCTTTCCATTTTTATCTTTCTCAAACTTAATAGGTGATATCTATTCAGTTAACACAGTCTTTTTGTACTTTTTTGTCTTTCATTCTCTATGTGGACAGGAAAAGGACCCTAGATATAGAGGTGGAAGGAATGTTAGAGATCAATTCAACTCCGCTCAAGAAGTATCTATTATGTGCCTACCACTTATTTAAGTCGTGCTAGGGATAAAAAGACAAGTCTGAGCTTTCCTTCATTGTACTTCTATTTGGCTGAACCTTTCTTTTATAGAGGAGGAATCTGAGGTCCAGAAAGAGGTAATGGTTTGGTCAAGGTCAAAGGTCACCCAGGGAACAAACAACAGCAAAGTTTGGTACTTAGATCCTCCAGCTCCAGTTCTAACCTTTGGTAGTCACAGGCCCAAATTGCCTGTTATCTATGCCTGTGATGCCCAGCCAGCAGGGTGTGGTTCTGGCCATCCCTGCAGGCACTGGAATTCTGGCTTCTGGCTTCTGCAGACAGCTGCTATGAAAAGCAACAAAGCCAAACAAAAACATTTTTCCAAAAGAAAAGCCAGTTTGCAGACAACAGCTCTGCAGAGACATACTCAAAGGCAACATAAGCAGTTTACAACATCACACATGGGGGATGAGTAGCAGCCATTCAGAATCAGAGTTCTAGCAGGAAGCAAGGGCCAGGAGGAGAGGCCCTTCTTTCTTACAAGGAAACACTTAAAGTCTCATCTACATCTACATAACAGCATCAATTCCAGGCAGGCTGTTTCTTCAAAGAACCAGGAGAAGCATCATAAACAACAACAACAACAACAAATTAATTTTCTCCTTTTCATGGTTTTTAAAACATTTACTGTTTCTTACTTTTAAAAACGAGCTTTCTCAGCTAACTCGGTTACAATTAGGTTCCCTGATTTCCAGGCTGATGAACGTTTTCAACAAGGCTCCAACTTCTCTGCATCGTACCGGAAGGAACCTTAGAAACAACATAGTCTCCACTCCTCCCCATCCCATTCCCAGTCATCTTAGTGATGAGGAAACCAAGGCTCAGAAAGGTTAAAGGGTCACACAGAGAATCAAGGATTTGAAGGAGAATCAAGATTTGATTCTTGGTCCTTCCAGGGGTGGGAAACCTGCAGTCCTCAAGGCCACATGTGGCACTCTAGGTCCTCAAGTACAGCCCCTTGACTTCAGTGGCCTTGAGGCCTCAGGTTCCCCACCCTTGTACCCATTGCTTTTACCGGTATAGTACACTGCCCCATTTAGTTCCCAACTCCTAGCCACTCTCTTGCAGAGAAAAGTTGGCTTATCCTGGAATCAGAATGAGAGAAAAAATTTTCATTTCCTAAAGTGCCTCAAAGAGGGGCAGCTTGGTTTCTATAACCGTTCCTACGCCCTGGCCTTCCTCCTCCATGTTACATTGGGTGACTCAGTGCCTTTCCTTTTGTTTTTGTCTAGGGGAAGTTTTCATTCTTCCCTTCCAGCCCTGGAAGACAGGGAAATATGTTTACCTCCTCCTACTCTTTGTAATCTCCATCCCTTAGAGGCCCTGGGGCTTTCCTGGAATGGGCAAAGCACTGGACTTCTTTGGGAGGCTTTTTCTCAAGCCAAGTCCAACCAATTTTCCTGAAGGTCAGTTCTCTTAATTAACACATTTGTTAAGCAC